GGGTTTTTTTCTCTCTAGTACTCTGGTTTTTTTGTTCTCAAGTTTTCACAAAAATCTAAGATTCTCCTCAAGCTGCAGTTTTCCTTCTCTAGATCTTTGCACATATACATCTAAAGGAAGGATCTGAGCATGGCCTAGGAGGAAAAAGATGAGGCCCTGCAGCTTAAGAGTGAATCCTGATTTATTGTTTCTAAGTTGTGTTTGGCAACATTTCGTGTTCCTTAAAAGCTAAGAGTAGAGTTAGTTGAGTCTATGGTCTTAAGGATCCATTTTATATAACCAGCCCCCAAGCAAGAAGTAATATTACAACAGTTTTTTTAAGATACTTTGGCAATATTTGACAGTAGACAGTTTCAGCAATACAGGTTGATTTCATGCAAGCTGTATAAAAGTAGGCAATTTTGTTGTTGTTGAGAAGCTTATCCAGTAGTGCACACAACTGCTCATTTCCTTGCAAATAGAAATGGTCTGAGGCTTATTTCTACACTGAGCAGAGTTCCAGCTGATACCTTGGAAGGATAGTCAGGGAATTAGAAGACTATTAGAAAATTGGTAACATGAAGTCTGAGGGGGGATTATGTGAACAGATTTCTAGAACTGAATACAGAATGGAAGGCAGGAGACATGGCAGAGAAGTGTCTTAATAAGGGACATAAAATGTTTCAGTCTGATAGTTATCATTTTCTTTCCAAATTATCTTCTGCTTCCCCAATGGCTCTGGAATACAGTGACCAACCAATAGGAATGGAGGTCATGCAGACTATATAATGCAAAATTCAGTTCACCAACCTTGACTACTTATATCTACTGTTGACCATTTAAAACTATCAAGCAAGCAGAAAAACCAAAACTACACCTCCACGTGGTACCATAAGCAGGAATTAAAGAAAGTTCCATCCAGGCTCCAATGCTATATTGATTTCATTGAACCACCTACATTATGAGAAAAGCAAAATACTTGGCTCTCTGATGGGTGATGGTGCTCTGCATGCTGTGAATGTGTTGCTCCCATTGGTTGATAAATAAAATGCTGATTGGCCAGTAGGCACACAGGAAGTATAGGCAGGATAAACAGACAAGGAGAATTCTGGGAAGAGGAAGGCTGAGTCAGGAATTGCCAACCAGACACAGAGGAAGCAAGATGTGAAGGCAGAACTGAGAAAAGGTACCAAGCCACCTGGCTAAACATAAATAAGAATTATGGGTTAATTTAAGTGTAAGAGCCAGTCAGTAATAAGCCTGAGCTAATGGTCAAGCAGTTTTAATTATTATAAGCTTCTGAGTGATTATTTTATAAGCGGCTACAGGGTCTGTAGGGCTGGACAGGACCAGAGAAAACTTCAGCTACAGCTCTCATCTGAATATATACTGATGTGTGGATGCATCTTCAACTATTTTGTGAATATTGCTATTCATGAAACTAAAAACACCTTACTTAGCATTATCATATAGCACTCATCTCAAAATTCAACCAAGAAATGTTATAGAGTCACTGGTATTTTTCTTATTTCTTTTTACTGACAGAAGCTGCATGATTGTCATTTGAAGTGTTAATTCGAAGTTGAATAATACCAACTCACAAGGCTAAAAAAATGTTTTCCTGGGAAATGTGTGGTGTTATTGTGTTCCCCAAAATATTGTGCACCCTAATAAACTTATCTGGAGTCATAGAACAGAACAGCCACTAGATATAGAGGCCAGAAAATGGTAGCACACACGCCTTTAATCCTATCACTTGGGAGGCAGAGATCCATCGGGATCTCTGTGAGTTTAAAGCCACACTGGAAACAGCCAGGCATGGTGACTCGCATTTAATCCCAGGAAGTGAGCCTTTAATCCCAGGAAGTGATGGCAGGGAGCAAAAAGGTATATAAGGTGTGAGGACCAGGAACTAGGAACCTGATTAAGCTTTTAGGTTTTTGAGCAGCACAGTTCAGCTGAGAGGCATCCAGTCTGAGGAACCAGGATCAGCTGAGGAATGGGCAAGGTGAGGTAGCTGTGGCTTGTTCTGCTTCTCTGATCTTCTAGCATTCACCCCAATACCTGGCTTCAGGTTTGATTTTATTAATAAGACCCTTTAAGATTCATGCTACATCTGGCCCTTTAGGATTTATGCTACAGAAATGGGTATATTTTAAATAAGAAACAAGTTCATAATGTTGTTTTACTAGAGCTGGGATGTAGAAGCTTCAAAATCAAGAACTGAATATAGGCATGGTTTCTTTCACTATTATCCTTCGGGATCCACCAGTGATACTGTTGGTTTCTATCCCCAAGGCTCACCTTATTTGTATAAAAGTCAGGCTTTTACCCACAATTATGTCAATGATATCACTGAGGTAGAAGAGTTAAGAATGCTACCCTGAGAGAACCTTGCGTCTTCTTTGGAGAGGACAGCTAGTATGTTTTAATTTTGTGAAGTCAAGCTGAATCTCTTTAGGTTGAAACATGTTTGGCTACTGTCTTCATTTGCAGGACAAAATGTTGAGGAAAACCGTGCACTGGTATGAGGCTGACCCTGAGTTGATTACACTGTCCATACTAAGTTAAAGTAACTAACTATTCTGGTGGCTTTAGTCTGCTTTGTATTGCTCTAACAAAATACTTGCGAACTATAAAGAGAAAATGTTTTATTCAGCTCATAGTTTGGGAACTTCAAAGTCCAGGCATGGTCAGGCACACATTAGGCTGGCCTCTGTCTGAGATCCTGGCAGAAGAAAGTATATGAAGAAAAGCCCTATCAACAAACCAGAAGTCAGGAGACACTGCCATCCCACTCTGGCTCACAATTAAAAAATGACTTCCTTGCCACCACATTAACCTTTATGCAATCTGGTGGCAGGAGTGGACTGGGGAGGAAGGTGATCTATGTTAATGAGAGATGTTTTCTTATGGGACATCTGAAATATTCCATCTGGATTTTATGTATTACTAGTTTTTAATTTCTCACTGTATATAGTCATTGTACATGGTACTATGTTGCAAAGAACTCTTTCATATGAGCATATATATTGTATGCAGCCTTAGACAGGAAGTTGCAGGAAAAGAATAGGTACTATGCTCTAGGTATTTTGTTTCAGTCTTATGAGAAAAAAACCTACTATAAATCATGAATGAAACAAGAAAAAAAGAGAAATGAAAAAAAGATTTCCCATTATGCCTCATCTACACTTTCCACCAATTTCAAGGATAAGTCTTTAACATATGGACCTTTGTGTGACATTTAACATATAAGCCACAGCAGCTTTCCTTTTCTATAGTTTCAGGGAAGGGCTGGTCAAATAAGGAAAAATCCTGAGAGAAAAGGAAAGCAAGCATAAAAAACTCAACAACTTTACACTTTTAAAGGTTGGGCAGTCCCTCAAGCTTCCAGCTTGCTTCATTGACAAGAAACAAGAGCTAAAACTAGACTCTCACTAGTTTTTCTCCTTTGAGTTAAGGTAAGTTAAGGGCCAGGTAAGTGTGCAAGCCCTTTGGGAAGCTATCACCATCTCCTATAGGTCATCAACATATCTTAGTGACTAAGAGGAATGTATTCCAATTTAAATTCATGATTTCAGTGCAAGTGTCCCACATCCAGTTGGCCCTGGCTCTCTCCTACTTCACATGCAGCTTCCTGCTTTACTGAGAACAGTTTCCATACCAGATGCAGAGATCATGTATGGGTTTCTCCATCACCTCCAGCATCTGTATTCCTTCTCACGCCCATAATTCATTCTGTATTCTACATCACACACTGATTTTCGGCTCATCAGAATAAACCCTACCTGATCCAATCAGTATGCAGACTATGAAAATGCTATAAATAAGGAAGACAAACACCAAAGAAGAAAAATAGAAAAAACAAAACAAAACAAAAACTCAGAAAATTCACACAACAGAGGAAAAAAAGGGGTTTGGGGGAGAACAGATTGAAACATGAGCTAGTGTTCAGACCCTCAAAAGATCAGATATTAAAATTTTAGAAAACTCTAACTAACCATTATAGAGGAAGAATTAGAAATATCCCCAGAGCATAATAGAAACATTCTCACTATATCCCAATTCTGCATCTAGAAAAGATCCAAGAAGGCACAGACCCCCTAGGATTCCCAAGGATTACTTCTGTAAGGTAACCCCTTGCAATAGCCTATTCCTTCTCCTGAGCTACAGGCTTGATTTAATTACTTTCTGTTGAACAGAATATATGACAGAGGTGATAAGATTGGCTCGCAAAAAGACTCAAAGCAAAGCAAGTACTGTTATTATTTTATTATGAGTTTACCCTTGGTGATACCCACATGACTAAGATGTGATCTACTGCGCCACATCCAACAAGGTCGTGAGACTAGTCAACTACCAAGTGAGTGAAACTGTAGCAGATGCTTCCTCCTGCCCTGAGATGAATGCAGCTCTTTCTGAATACTCTGTAGAAATATGAGCTCCTGCACCAGAGAGCCTCACTCCCAACCACATCATTCTCAGATGCCTGACTGACAGAAAATAGGAGTTTGCAAATGCCTTATGGGACGAAGTTTCAGAGTAATTTGCAAAATGAAACAGATAATTAAAATAGTCTCCAATAATCTAATTACAACCCTCAGTGGAAATCAAATTCCTATTTTTAATTTTTTTAATGAATGTGTGCTATGATTACCTATAGTCACCCATTTATTCATCATTTCAATGTAATTGAAAGCCTCATCTACCAGATCCTGTTCTGAATACAAAAAGCCTATGATCTTACAATTTCATAAACAAGTAATAAACAAGTGTAAAAGCCATCCTGAAAGTCAGATAATGAAAAAAAGCTATTGAAAAAAAACAGGCTAAGGAAGTAAAAGAGAAAGTGAGGCCCAAACACAGGTAGCAGGGGGTTTTTTGTTTGTTTTTTTGAGACAGGGTTTCTCTGTGTAGTCCTGGCTATCCTAGAACTCACTCTGTAGACCAGACTGGCCTCAAACTCTGAGATCCACCTGCCTCTGGCTCCTGAGTGCTTGGATTAAAGATGTTGCCACCACCACGTGGTGAGGTAGCAGTATTTAACAGATCCACTCTGAAAACATGACATATGTGTGGTGATACTGTGCTCCCCAATATATTATGCACCCTAATAAACTTATCAGGGGTCAGAGAACAGAACAGCCACTAGATAGAGGCCAGAAAACGGTGGCACTCACGTCTTTAATTCTAGCATTGCAAAGGCAGAGATCCATCCAGATCTCTGAGAGTTCAAAGCCACACTGGAAACAGCCAGGCATGATGACTCACGCCTTTAATCCCAGGAAGTGATGGCAGAAAGCAGAAAGGTAGATAAGGCGTGAGGACCAGGAACTAGAGCCTGGTTAAGCTTTTAGGCTTTTGAGCAACGAACAGTTCAGCTGAGATTCATTCTGGATGAGGACTCAAGAGGCATCCAGTCTGTGGAAACAGGATCAGCTGAGGAACTGGCAAGGTGAGGTGGCTGTGGCTTGTTCTGCTTCTCTGATCTTCCAGCATTCACCCCAATACCTGGCTCCAGGTTTGTTTCTATTAATAAGACCTTTTAAGATTCGTGCTACACATGGGGGCAAAACCATGAAGTTATGAGGAAGTGATTCATACAGCATCGAAAGTGCATCCCATGCACAAGAAAGAAACAAAAGCATCTAGATGCAGGTCGTAAAATGCCAGGGCAGCATCCACAGCCACTTTTCCTACATAAGAGCTTGGACTTCAGAGACAAATGAGTTCCTGGCTTTACAAGATGAGAGTGACATCCTGACAGTTTTAAGATGATCCTGCGTGCTGAACTGAAAAATGCATCATGGTGAGGGAGGGGTCAGGGTGATGAGCTGAAAAGCAAGGAGACTAACGAGAAAGTTTTGATATTAATGCCAGTGAAAGTATGGTGGTACAGACCAGGGTGGGAATGAGGAAGGACAGGTGAAACTGGCCAGCTTCTGACAAAAGAATATTATCTGGATTCAACTAAATTAATTTCTAAGGTATGTATTTATGAATGCCTACTGAAGACAGGTACCTAGAATAAGTCAGTAAATCAGAAGAACTTGTGCTTCTAAAATTTTACTTTTCAAATATATGGTATCCACACTCCCCAGTATCTATATCCACTGCTAGTGAATTACTTCCAGTAACTAAATGATAGTTTTTTATGACTTGTTAGTACTTTTAAATGAATTTTATTTCTTTTGTTATGCTATATTAAATTAACAGAACATTTCCATGACAAGTTTGTTTTGGGACAATTCTGCATTATGGTATCTGAGACAATTACTTATCCTTCCACTCTTTTGGGGTAACTCTGCCAACAGGAGACAGGTTCCATTCTACCCCCATCTGTGTGATATAAATCACATATCCAAGAAAACAGAAAGTGAATCCACTAATTAGCATCATATTGCCATATTTGTCATGAAAATCCGATGAGGGCTTTTGGTGGCCCTGTCTTGCCACAACTTGTCGAATGCTTTGAGTCTTGAGACGGTTTAGTGTGTATCGGGCCAAGGGAAACATCCCGACGTGTGAAACTATTACTTCTGATTGCAGCAGTGGGGCTATTTCCAGAGATCTGGAAGACAAAACATAACATGGCAATGACATTTGATCTGTATTCAGTTCCTCCTTCATTTCAATGCTTCATCTGGGCCCCTAGATCCCATAAACAGCCGTCAAGGACTGTGAAGATTCCAAATTTCCAGTGCCTCTACCTTTTTCCAATTAATTTTTTGAGACAAAGGTTTCTCACTGCATCTTCTCATGGGTTCAGGATCTCCCGACTGTCTCCCATTGCTGGGAGATAGGTACAGGGTCACATATGGTACTTCCATAACTGCTAGGGATCTGAACTCAGGTCCTCATGGTCATGCAGTGAACATTCTACCCAATAAGCTGTCTCTCCAAACACAAGAATGTGACTTTCATGTCATGATGTCTGGATTCTAATTTCAGCTAAGCGGCTGGATGACTGCATAAATTTCAGCAGTTACTAAAAATCCCTGTGCTTCATCATCAGTGTCAAGCTGAGATAACAATATTGTGAAGACTGCATATAACATAACCCAAAGAACAACAATTTTTTCTTACTCATCAAAAAACGTGCAAAGGTGTCTTCTCTACAGGCAGAGTCCAGACTTATCAACATGTCCAAGACAGCTACACAGGATCATTCCCCACACATCACACTAGTTGAATATCCTATCTAAAATCTACTATACATTCTAGGTTTCCATCAGAATTACAGACAATCACAGCATCATCTCTTCCTCCTGTTCTTTTGTTTTTTCCTCTTTGGCCATAGGAAAGAGCAGAATCAGAGTAACTTATGATAACTAGGTCTCTGTCTCATGCCTTCTGCTTTATAACAAACAGACTTCCATTATTCCCCACATTGAGAAGCTGCAACCCACAAACTTTGCCTCCATGATACTGGTTGCACACATTATATTATATATCATCCTTTAGTTATTCCTATATCTATGAAGCTCTTTCATCTACCTTGAGTTTTCTTATAATTAAGTTGGCTTCTGGGGTTAAGAATTTCCATTTAGAAATTCCTCTTTAGTTACATCCTATAAAAATAATGCTGTAATATTTGAATATAAGACATCCTTCATGGTCTCCTATATTTGGTCCCATGACCCCTAGTCTATTAGAACAGTTTGGAAAGTTGTGGAACCTTTAAGAGGTGGAGCCTAGCTGGAAAAACTAAATTTCTAGAGTATAGACTTTGAAATTTATAGCAAGATTTGGCTTTTTAGCTCATGCTCTTGTCTTATCTTCCTGTGTCATCTGTGTTCTAATCTACCAGGTATTAGCTTGTTCTCCATATCTATAGTCAGAATGCAATCCTGCCACCATGCCTTCCTCAGGATGATGGAGCATATCCCCTGAACTGTAGTCCAGGATACATTCTTATTTCTGTTAGATACTCTGCTACAGTAATACGAAATGTAAGTAACACACCCTGAATCTTCTCACTCTTCCTGCCTGCTGGTATGAGTAGTATCTACCTATTACCTACTTTGATTTATGAAGCACATGTGAAAACTAAGAACCTACTAATTAAAAGCATTTTCCACATTGCTAAATTCCATTTGGCAATTCTATAATGAATTTTGTGCACCTTTAGTACATTATCCAAAGAACTAAAACTATTGGTTCTAACAGCCATATAGAAGTAAACAACACAAAATTTGATAATATTCAAAAGTAAAGGAAATGCTTCTCACAGCATACATCTGGGGAAAACTGACCACAAAAAGATGGATTTCTCTTTCTCTAGTAATAAAAACAAAGTAAAAGTCCTCCTACCTTTGCAGCAATAAAATAAATACGTTCTAAATAAATTTATCTAAACAAAATACAGTGTTCTATTGAAGATAAAACAGAAAGATTGTGAAATCTACTTTATACAGTAATGAATAAGTTAAGCCCAGGGAAAAGAATAGCCACTATGGGACTATATTCTAATTCTAGGAGGAAAATATATAGACTTGAAATTTCACTGGTAACAATAGTAACTTAACATCACTAAAGGCCATAAAAGTAAGTCAAGCACTAATGAAGAGAGAAAATTAACATACATGTAAGCCAGACATTATGCCAAGATTCTTCACTTCTATAAATACAGAGAGGAAGGGTGGTCTGTTTTTTACATAAAATCATGAAACAGGACATGATATGAACACAAGTCCTCTCTCTGCTTTTAACTCCAAGGAGCTTCTTAAAGTACATCAACACTAAAGACTGAAAAAAACTAAACAAACAAATAAAACCAACCAAGCAAACCTATGTGGGTTAAGATTACCAGAGATAATCTTTTAATTGAAAATGATTTTCTGTATTCTACTGTTTTCACCTAGTGACTTGTGAGTGTATCTCTATACTCAGAGCAAGCAGCAGTACACCTGCTCAAAAAGCTTCTGGTGCACAGAAGGTAAGCCTAAACACGGTTAAGGAAGTAAGTGGGCAAGAGAGCAAGCAGCAGAGGGTGCTGTTACTTCAGACAAGAGTGCCATCTGGGGTGGGGGTGGGGGTCTGTGAATGGTTCTAGATGAGATGACACTTTGATTCAATCTTTAATAACTATTAAGAAATCAAAAACGGACAAACAGAAAACTAGGGAGAAACGTGTATCTGCAGCAGCAAAAGTACAAGCTCAGGGTCCAGCATAACAGGCAGACAAGTCAATGGGGTGACTTCAGTGGCTGTCACATAATCAGTTTAGCCCAGAAGACGACGAACTGCAGTGAAAATCTCTCATGTCTCCTATGGAATTTTTACTTGACATTCTATTGCTGAGAAAAGAAGTTTTAGGTTGATAGACCTTGATACTGAGGACTTTTCATTCTACATTTGAACTTCTGTGATAATATAAACTATGAGATCTAGACATTGTTGCTTCTTTGTTCATATTTTAGTTGTACTCATATATAAAATTATGTGTTCTGGGTTGATGAAAAAAATGTATTCAGGGGCTCTAGAGATGGTTACATAGGTTAGAATACTTGTTGCTCTTCCAGCAGAACCAATTTGATTCCCAGCACCCACATGGTGGCTGACAATTGTCTGTTAACTTCAGTTTCATGCCATCTGCCACCCTCTTTTGGCCTCAGCAGGCACTGCATGCATGTGATGCACAGACAAATATGTATGAGAGCTAATCACACCCACACATAAAATAAAACTAAATAGGTCTTTAAAGAAGAATGCGTGTAGTTTTATGTTTTCAAGATGTGCTCATATATATAAAAGGCAAAAGAGCCCACTCTCTTGGTTCCCTCAGACATACAATCCCCCACCTGCTGTGGTATGTTCTGTATGGCAAATGTGTTGCTAATTAGTCAATAAATAAAACACTGATTGGCCATTGGCTAGGCAGGAAGTGTAGGCGGGACAAGGAGGAGAATAAAGCTGGGAAGTGGAAGGCTGAGTCAGAGAGACGCTGCCAGCCGCCACGATGAGAAACAGAATGTGAAGATACCGGTAAGCCACGAGCCATGTGGCAAGGTATAGATTAATGGAAATGAATTAATTTAAGCTGTAAGAACAGTTAGCAAGAAGCCTGCCACGGCCATACAGTTTGTAACCAGTATAAGTCTCTGTGTTTACTTGGTCGGGTCTGAGTGGCTGTGGGACTGGCGGGTGACAGAGATTTGTCCTGACTGTGGGCCAGGCAGGAAAACTCCAGCTACACCCACCCCTGCCCCAAAACAGGCCATGCCTGCCAGAAGATCATGTAGGCCAGTTGCCCAGGTATATGTTCCACTCTCTATCTTCCAACAGACCAAATCTCAGTTGTCCCTTAAAGCAGACTATGGAGGGTCCAGCCCCACAATAGCCTGCTCCCAGGGTGTGGAAAGAATCTATGACCAGCTGATAATTGAATTTTTGATAATATTAAATGAATCTAAGTACACAAAACTCTTACTCCATACACTTTATTCTTCTGAGTCAGTTCTCTCTCTCTCTCTCTACATTGCTTCTTTTCTGCCCTCATGCTTAGCTCCTCTGTCTCCTCTTTTCCTGTCCTCTCATAGCCCTAAGCTTTTATGTTTTCGATCTCATCATTGTCCTCTGTTCCTTCATCTCCCATCTTTCCTTCCTCTCCTACTTGCCTGACCTGATTTGAATCCACCTACAATCTGCAAAATCTTTCCTTGACCCTTACTCCTCTGCCGAGGCACTCTGCTCTACCATCTACAGAAACTCTGGCTTGTTCTCTTCTGTCCAGCCACACAACTCTGCCCAGACCAGGAATCCTGCCCCAGCCTTCATTGCACCTGGTTATGCAAAAAACTCTTTTGTTCTGAATCAATTACTCTGGAATGCTGTTTGGCCTGTCTGGGGAAGGAAGGTCTAAGCTTCATTTGCAGAAGAAACAAAGCTATGCATCTACAATCCTCCCATTCACCTAGGCTCTGTTGGGATATTACCTAGTTCAAATCAGCAGGTAATCTGAGAAGCTTATACTGTTTGCTATTAAGGCCTAGTAGTATATGAGTACACAAGAAATTCATAGCAGAGGACAGCTGATATCTTAAAAGCCAAATAACATCAAATATTCCTTGATATTTGACTTGCCTCTCGAAGAATTTCTTGAGCCTTCTAGGTTTAGATTTATCATATACAGCTGAATCTCTATTTCATATACTTTTGACCCACAGCAGTCCCTCCTCCCCTTATTGCTGTGTTCTAGCCCCCAATTCCGGAAGACACCATCTGCCCAAACACTGGCCACAACTTCCAAAAGACTAGGTAGCCTATGCCCCTGTGGACTTCCTCCACCCGCTTGGTGCTCATCCCCAAGACACAATCCCCTCTTCCCTCCTAGGTACCATACCATATTCCAGTCCCCAACTTGGGTGGAGACACCCAGCAGTACCAGAGACACATGGAGCACCAGAACTTCAGGTAGGCTGCCCACCTGCAGACCTCCTCCAAACTCTCAGTACCCCTTTCCCCAGCACACTATCCCCAATCTCTCTCTCTGGAGGGAGAGAGTATGGAGAGAAACAATTGGAATTGGAGAACATTTGGGGGTACAATGTGGAAACCTAGTGCAGTGGA